TTTTCCACACGGCAGCCTGAGTGATCTCAAAATATGTCGAATCATGCTACAATGCATTATAAGGAATTTGAGAACTCCTTATAATGGCTTCTATTATGTAGGATGAAATCCAAAATCCTTCATGTGGTCTCTTAAGGTCCTAAATGATCTGATCTGGCCCCACCTGCCTCTCCAACCTCATCTCTCTTCCTTGTCATTCTCCGGCTATATACATACCTACCTTCTTGTAGTTCCCAAAAGTTCCCTCCTGCCTTTGATTCATTGTACATCCTTTTCTCTCTCATCCCTATTGCTAGTAAACTTACATTCTTTAGGTGTTGATGAAAATGTTTCTTGCTCAGGGAAACCTTTCTGAACCATCCCCCTCTCCTGGACTAGATTGGGCCCCCTATTGTTTTCTAATAGTCCCTTTTATAGCATGGATCATAATTATTTTTAACTATTTTCTTGTCTCTCTCCTGGGAGAATATAAATATCACCAGGTCAAGGGCTGTGTACCCTATCAAAGCAAGAGTCAAGCACAATGCCTCAGCACTGAGGGTCAGTAGGCACTCGGATATTAATGAGTGAGTAGATTTATGATCTTAGTTGTTAAGATGTAGCTGAGAGAAAGCAAAACCTGAATCCAGTGGCAGAATATTTGAAATAAAATTTAAAGCTGTCATCCACAATATTTACTTTTTAAAATGGTATTAACCAGACTGAAGGAAGTAATGAAACTGTAGGAAACAAAATAGGAGGGACTAGTTTTTACTTCAGTTGTTCAGTAGACTTTTTCCAGGTAATTCAGTCAAAAGTCCTAAGTAATCTTAGCAAACTGTTATCATAGGCACATTGCAGGTTTGTAACTTCTGAAAAATATTATTTAAGTTCAAAGAATAGCTAGTTTTTGGTGTGAGCATGTTGGATCTGAAAGTTGTGGGTGTTTTAAGTGTTAAACTGATGAAGCATGTATCCTTGAAATATCCTAGATACATTAAAAGTCCTCGAGTTCTTTCTGACTTGGAACAGAAATCCCTATTTCAAGCCACATATTTTAGACACAAATATGTCTTGACCCTTGACCATGATAGTGCCAACTCAAATGCTTGGCAGGCCTTAGCACCCTTGTATTGACTATTAACAGGGTTGCGAGCTTTCCCATTTTCAGCTAAAGTGACAACTGTTATTTCTTATTTTCAGCATGTTTGACTGTGTATAAGAGGGCAAGTGGGGTGAAGGGGAAATAAGTTTCAAATTGTTCTTAGATTTCAAGATGCAGTGTAGTCACAGACCAGACACAAACTCCTTTATCTACTGTTGAGGTCTAAATCTTAAAGAACTGCTTCTCAAGCAGTGACCTATTTCAAATTGCACATTTGTCTTCTTGATAGATAAAAAGATGTTGTAACATAGTGGTTTGTGTGGCAGAGTTAATTGCCAGTGTTTATTGACTACCTGTATAAGCTATTGTTAGGTGACAACTTACCCCAGAGCTTAGCAGGTTAAAACAACAAATATTTATTATTTCATAATTTCTGTGCATCAGGAATCTGGGAATAGTTTGGCAGAGTGCCTGTGCTTGAGACTCTTACAAAGTTGCAATCAAGCTGTCATCTGGGGCTGCTATCTCATCTGAAGGCTTGACTGGGAGGAAAATGCACTTCTAAGCTCACTTACATGGTGGTTCATTTCCTTGTACCATGAGCCTCTCTGTAATGTAACTCACAACGTGGCAACCATTCAGCCTCTTAACCCGATTTATGTAACCAAGCATTCCTCCCATCTCTGGAAGCTTTGGGCATATTTTATTTGTCCTCACTACACTAGACTTTCATCCTTGATGTGGATGAGGATCAAGTGAAATAATGAATGTGAAATGGTGAAATTGAATGGCTAGAGAAACACAGTGCTCAAGCATGAACAGTGACCTGGGAAAGAGCTGGAAACAGAAAGAAAATGTTGCATGAAACTGGGAGCAGGAACTTCAGGGAAGTTGTGATGATCCTGTCTTCCCTCGTGTCTTCCCCAAGTTGGAAACATCCAAATGTCTTCCCTAGGAGTTACCAATCTCCAGCAAAAATCTCCCTATTGCCACCTAGCTACTAAAGCCAGGGCACATTAAGCAGCAGTTCACTCACACCCAGCAGGCCCACAAAACAATATTGTTCTTGAACTATGTGCCTTGAAGTGTGGGTATGAAAGTGCTTTATTAATTTTTAAACAGTATAAAAATTAAGTTGTTGGAATGCTGCTGTTTGGAAACACCAAACTTTCTAATTGTTTGGAAAACACAGGTTGAATAGTACAAAATACAAATCAACACTGTATAATCTATTATAAGAGAATCACTTGCCTAGTATTGACAATACCATATCAGTGTTTTCAACTTCTGTGAAGTATTTGCATTAAGTTCAGTAACAGTTTTCGTTGAGTTTATGGTAATTCCCCTCTCCCTTTCTCATGAATAAGCACATCCTGGAATTTGCTATCTGTGCTCCACCTTGCTCTTGAATTAGAAGGGTTTTTTTTTTGTTTTGTTTTGTTTTTTTACTTTTTCTTCCTTTGCCTTCCCTTTCCCTTTTTCCTTACAATCATATGCACTCAGGACTTATTTTTGGGCACAGGAAGATATTTTTTTTAAAAAACTGAACTCTGATTTCTGATTCTGTATAGTGATTTTCCATATTGATGGTGAGAAGTCAATGTGCTAGTTGCAAACAACTGCCAAATCTTTGGAAATAATAGTACAGTATATCTTGCTACCTAGCAAGGTTCAGGACCTTTAAGAGTCTCTGTGCTTAGGAATACCCCACTTACATACAGGGCAAATACTGTTGCCCTGGCATTTAGAACAGCCTTGCTTCTATCATTGTTATGCTACAGATGGAAGTGGTAAAAATAAAGAACTGGTTTCTTCCCCTCTATAGCTTATGAAATTATTATTATGAATCTGTATTTGGAATAGACATTGATTTCTTTTGTTTCTATTTAAAATGTGTTAAACAGATATATTTCATACTGGTAGCTTTGTTTAAACCTACAGTGATATAAATGGATTCTATTTTAAATGAATTATTTTAGAACTATGTACCACTGAGTTGTTTTTCCAGCTATTCTTTACTCTTCACAATTTTACCTTGTCTTTTTAGTATATTGCATTTCTAATATCCATAACAGGTTAGGAAATTGCAAAACAAAACAAACAAAAAACAAAAAAAAAAAAAAAAAAACTTTAAAGAGAATGAAGAAAGAATATTTTACGGTATCCAGAAGCAGAAAATAACTTATTCACGAGTGTTGCCAAGATGGAAAGAACCCCTGGGAAGTAATTTGTTAAAACTTAAAGAAGTTCCAAGGAAGGTGGGAGTCAGGGTAGAGATGGAGTCAAGGTTGAAGGGAGATGAGTTAGAGAAGGAAAGTTGCCTAAATACAATTAAGCCTCAGGTATTTATGGAACTCCTAATATTGTGGTGAGTTACAAAATCTATTAAACTCAATCTTGCTTGTCAGGAATTGAGAATCTAATTGGAAGGAGAAAAATTATGCATATGAAACAACAATTAAGTAGTATACTAAGTACAGAAGGGAAGTGGTGAATAAGTAGAGAAGGAAAGTAGTGAATGAAGACTGGAATGATTTTTGAGGAATTGTTAAGATTTAGAAGAATAACAGAAAAAGATATATTCTAAATGACAGCAAAAACATCAAAATGGGTTTAGAAGCCAAAATAAACCATTTTATTTACATACAATTTTACAAAGCTGTAGACAGAAACATATACATGAGCTAGAAAAAAATTAAGGCGAGCAAAAATTGCCACTAAAAAATTAAATATAATGAATAACATATTTAGTTATAAACTTTCATTTAAATTATAAAAAATAAAAATTATAACAAATATAATACATGTTTTTACAAAAGATAAGGAAAAGATATATACCCCAGTAGAAAAATGGGCAAAGTACTTTAGCAGTAAAATTACAGAATAAGAAATATAAATGGCCAGTAAACATATCTTAAGATAATCAGCCTCAGTAAAAATTAAAGAAATGTAAAAAAAAATGCAAGTTTTATCTTATGAGATTGGCAATGGTTTAGAAAATAAAACTAATGATTAATACCCGCTTCCGTTGGGAAACGGGCACTTCCACACTACTGGTGGGAATTTAAATTCTTATAGTAGTGTGGCAATGCCAAGAGCCTTAAAAAAAGAGAACATAACTCTCCAATGTAACAGCTCGATTTCTAGGAGATATCCTAAATAAATAATTAGAAAAGACCTTGATAAAGCAGAACCTTTATAAACAGAAACATTGGAAACACCCCCAAAAGATGGTATGGCTATATTATTAAATAACATAGGAATGAGAAAAAGCAAATAATGGGGCATGTTGTAGCACATGATCCTATTACTATTGAGAATGGATACTTGGGAAATATGTGTGTATGTTTGTATCTACACAAACATATGGGAATTCAGGAAGGTTATATGTACCACATTGTTAATTGTTCTTAACTCTGGATGGCTGGACAACAGGTGACTTTTGTTTTTTCCATTTTGCTTATCAATATGATAAACATTTTTTAATACATTTTAAAGAAAAACAGCTTGAAAATTAGAATAAGGAGTAGGTACTTACGATGTTCATTAAGAATGTATTTTCTCTATCTGTTTAGATGTTAAGGAAGCTGTAATGATCTTCACTAGGTTCCAGGACCTACAGAAATTTGGCATGGGAAGATTCCCACCCCTCCCACCCCTGTCCCACTTGCCTAGAAAGACTAAGTGAGCCTAGGTGTTAATAGACATCTTTTCTTTTAACTTTTAAATAATTGTACATCTGTCTAGTTGTTAACTGTAGAATATGGATGGTTTTATAAGCGTTACAGATTGTTTCTGTTTATAGTTAAAATCTTTGACTTAGAATTTCAGAAGCTTCTGACAGAATCTGCATGTTTTAGATCTACATTTCCTTTATCCTTATATTCATTTTATCTTTTCTTTTGCTCCTCTTTAGGTTCTATCATAATGAATGGATCCAATATGGCAAATACATCACCCAGTGTAAAATCCAAAGAGGACCAGGGGTTAAGTGGGCACGATGAAAAGGAAAACCCATTTGCAGAGTACATGTGGATGGAGAATGAAGAGGATTTCAACAGACAGGTAAAGAAAGAGTGGAAAAGTGGAAGGTTGATGATACATGTAACTCAATAGCTATAATATTTTACTGCCAGTTTGTTACAAAAGAAATGGATACAGTTAGCTTTAGGATAACTTAAAAATTCATTGCGGAGGTCTGGGGGGCCTCATCTGGAATGACCAGGAAACATCTTCATCTGGTAAGAGACCAGAGTGATGGCACCTTGGAGGAAGATATTTGTAGTTTTCTTACCATGTTGATTAAAAGAGAAAACAAATGTCAGACTAATTAGTTGATATCTGAAAATCCTCATGTGAGAGCCCATGTATAACCAAATAGATTTGCATGTACTCCACACCATTATATGCCTTCTAAGTGTAGTTCACGTCACACGGTAACTACTGCAGAGGGTCCCTGCCCTCAGCCTTGTTCTGGCTAGATTTGTTTATGGCATTTCTCTCAGCAACTGTAGACCATTCTAGAATATTCCCATAATTTAAATCAGACAAGACTCTTCTCAATCTTAGAGGACTGACATAAAACGCTTGTACCAAACCATGGTAGCTGAGGTCCTTTATCCTGCCCTGATTCTACCTTTAATCCTAGGAAGCATAGTGGTTCTATAACTCTCTATAGTGATCAATGTGAAATTAATTGCTTGAACAGTAGAGCACTAAAAAACAGAATGGTAGTGAGGTTGTTTTTCTATATACTTTGTAGTTCGTTGCTTTCACTTGCTTATAGGAAATGTGATACTCTGCATTTCATTTTGGAAATAAATGAAGACATAAAAGAAGTTTAAGGCCAGGTATGGTGGCTCACGCCTGTAATCCCAGCACTTTGGGAGGCCAAGGTGGGCAGATCACTTGAAGTCAGGAGTTCAAGACCTGCCTGACCAAAATGGTAAAACCTCGTCTCTACCAAAAATACAAAAATTAGCTGGGCATGGTGGCATCCTTCTATAATCCCAGCTACTTGGGAGGCTGAGACACGAGAATTGTTTAAACTAGTAGGTGGAAGTTGCAGTGAGCCAATCACACCACTGCACTCCAGCCTGGGCTACAGAGCAAGACTCTGTCTCAGAAAAAAAAAAAAAAAAAAAAAAAAAGATTAAAAACTCTCACTGAAGGTAAGTATGTTTTCCATGGGACTTTAGAACAGTCGTGTTTGGCATTTTTGTTGACTTAATGGTTTCACTCTGCCTTTATCCAGCCTCTGAATGAAACATATGTTGTTGAAAACATAAAACAGTTTTAACTAGCTTTGTTAACACTCACTGACATGCTCTTAATCCCAGTGATCAGTATTGCACCAGGACTATTAGAAGCCAGATGTCTGAGCTGTGGGTCAGCTTTGCGCTCCTATATTCAGGAGTTTAGCAAACTCAGAGACAGGGTACAAGGAAAAGTGCTGGAAAGCTAGGGGCTTGCAGAGACACACATACACATTCACACACACACAGACACACACACACACACACACACACACCCCGCACAAAGAGATTGAGGAAAGACAGTTGAGAAGCTTTAAAAATTACAACTTTTTTTTCTGGAGAGCTAGGTAAGCAATGACAGATATATGCATGGCAGCTTCCAATATTGCAGTAAATACCAAGCCCTAAGAAGGGCTGAGCAAATAAACAATTGTTTGCTCAAATTCCCCCAACCCTAATGTTTTACAGGAATACTAGCTTGGCAACATAATTTTGGGTTTTGTCTGTTTGTTTGTTTGTTTGTTTGTTTGTGGAGACGGAGTCTCACTCTGTCACCCAGGCTGGAGTGCAGTGGCTCAGTCTCTGCTCACTGCAACCTCCACAGTCCAGGCTCAAACCATTGTTATGCCTTTGCCTTCTGAGTAGCTGGGACTACAGGCATGTGTCACCATCCCTGGAAAATTTTTGCATTTTTAGTAGAGATGGGGTTTCGCCATGTTGGCCAGGCTGGTCTTAAACTCCTGGCCTCAAGTGATCTGCCTGCCTCAGCCTCCCAAAGTGCTAGGATTACAGGCGTAAGCCACTGCGCCTGGCCTGGCAACATAATTTTGAAACTATTATATGATTTCAGGTCATAGGATTAAATATTTCAGAGAAGCCTTCTTTATCCTTCATTTGGGAGCAGGAGGGTTTAGGAATCTGGGATATAATTGATGTTAGTTATTTCTGAACACCTGTACATTACTCTGTTACACTATGGTGTGCTGTACAGTTTTTACCACTGCCAACCCCCATTCCATTACTAGCATAGTTTACATGGTAATTCAGAAGTGGTTTTGCATACCATGTACCTTGAGTTGGATCTTAAGGAGTAGAAACTGGTTTCTAGCTAGCAACCCTGCTATAATGTCTTCTGACTTTCTAATAAAATATCTAACAAAACATAGAATAAGATGAAAACAACTTACAACCCCCCAAACCAGGAGTGACATTCATTGGTCTTTTTTAAAAGATTTTCACTGACTGTGAGGCTGATGGAAGTGGATTGAAATGTAGTTTTGGTGGGGGGAAAGGATTAAGTCTCAAGAAAAGTAGTGGGACTTTTATTTTAAAGTAACTCGGGAAAGAAGAAGTAAGACTTAACATACTAGTTATAATTGTGAATGGCTTATATACCCCAACACCCACACACATACAGAATTTTTTAAGAAATGGGGTCTTGCTATGTTGCCCAGGCTAGACTTGAACCCCTAGGCACAAGTGGTCCTCTCAGTACAGCCTCTTGATTGGCTGTGACTACAGGCATGTGTCACAGTGCCTGGCTAGAATTTCTTTTTTTTTTTTTTTTTTTTTTTTTTTTTCTGAGAGGGAGTCTCACTCTGTCACCCAGGCTGAAGTGCAGTGGCGCGATCTCAGCTCACTGCAAGCTCCGCCTTCCGGGTTCACGCCATTCTCCTGCCTCAGCCTCCCGAGTAGCTGGGACTACAGGCGCCCACCAACACCCAACACGCCAAGCTAATTTTTTTGTATTTTGAGTAGAGACGGGTTTCACCGTGTTAGCCAGGATGGTCTCGATCTCCTGACCTCATGATCCGCCCGCCTCAGCCTCCCAAAGTGCTAGGATTACAGGTGTGAGCCACCGCACCCAGCCTTCTGGCTAGAATTTCTAAGAGAGAAGATAGGTGGCGGGTGCCTGTAGTCTCAGCTACTTGGGAGGCTGAGGCAGGAGAATGGTGTGAACCCAGGAGGCAGAGCTTGCGGTGAGCTGAGCTCACACCACTGCACTCCAGCCTGGGCGACAGAGTGAGACTCCATCTCAAAAAAAAAAAAAAAAAGATGAGTTGGATTATAGGAGGAATGCTTGAGCCCAGGAGGTTGAGGCT